TTGGTTTTCTGAAAAAAAAAAAAAAAAAAAAAAAGAAAAGAAAAGAAAAGAAAAGTAAAAAAAAAATACCAGCATTGTCTACGTCTATGATTACCGACCCGGATTCTCGGCGACTCCAGCATCAGATAATATTCAAACTCAGCCCCTATATCAGGCTCTGGAACTCCAAGGTACTGGATCGATTTCGATTAGAACTGTTTAGGCTCCGTCTGACTACGCTGATGTCGACGTGGCACCGTGTGTTACAATCATCTCAGCCAATTGTTCACAAGAATATAGACTCCGGGTAGATACATCCGACTGATCGGTTGAGTATATACCGTTCCCTGCTTATGGCGGAATGACCAGCCCAATCTTCTCGTTCTCCGACTTGCTCCGTTGACTCCACTCTGGTGCTTTATCCTCGCCAGCCTCTTCCTGTGCATCGCCCTCTGCCTTGGTTTGATGTACTGTACGCGGGTCATGTTCAGCCGGGGAGTATATGGTGACGACTTCGAGTGGCGTGTTTCCGATATTCAGAAACTGGTGTTGAGTGCCAGCCGGGACTATGACGACATCGTTCTGTTTGACCTCTTGTTCCTTCCCAGCAACAATTGCCTTGCCAGTGCCATGGGTGAATATCAGCACTTGATCGACGGTATGAATCTGGAAGTCATGGTTAATTTTTTCCATAAATCACAATAGTCGTTCGTGGGAAGAATAGCTAACCTCGTCACCAATTTCGCCGTTGACCGGAACTTCCATCGCCACAAATTGCGAATACAGACCAGTGTGAAGGACCTTACGGAATACCCCAAACGATCGACTCGGTGACATCACCCCTGGCATGTACACCATCTCGTTCTTGGGAGGTTGAGTAGTCATGTTGCCGTTGTATTTTGAGCTCTGGTCTGAGTATCTTCGGAGATGAACGCCAGAAAGACGTAGTGGGGTCGTATTGCTGAAGAAAGGTGTTTTCGCGTGTTGTATGATCTGTCTTCCCAAGCACCTTGACAAACCGTTCATTTTAACAGCAGTTGCCATTAGATCCAGCATATGTCATCCAGGGTTGTACATGGTAATCCATTTATAAACCGGCAGGGTCTGGATGCTCGGGTGGTGACGTAGACCATGCCATCATGTAACCCCATCGGCTGCCGGCTTCTGGCAGGTCTCTACCATGGGTCACATCTTCATAAGCAACGGGGTCCAGGCTTCATGCTTGAGAAGTTGAATGTGTTCTAAGAGGATCCCTTAGGCACACCTAAGGCGGTAACTCAAGGATCGCCGATGGTCGGATCAGCAATGGCCATGTTTATCACCCATATTTGGTGCCTGAGGCTTCAAATGGTATGCATGGACAACCCACTCTTAGCCTCACTGTGGCCGGTCATTCTTTGAGTAACGAATAGTTAGAATGGCCAATCTGCCGGTCGCGAGTCCGTACGACACTGCCAGGGCTTTTAGGTACAGAGCACATAGCACCATAAAATTATGGGTTGCTACTGATTGGGCACATATATCCGCAACATCCCTCTGGATGGCCATATGACACTCAAAGGGTTAAATTGATGTGACCAGGATATGAATGAATAGGGATCAGCTCGTCATTTAGTGTCCGTCGGGCTATGCTCTGTAGCCCAATAGCTAGACGATCAATCACCGACGATAGCCCATTCCGGCGGTTCCAAACTGGTCACTTGTTTGCTCTAGAGATTCAAACCACAGGCATCACCCCTCTAACTCCCCTTTATCAACTGTCTAACAGTATACTCCGTAACCCACTTTCGGCTACCATAACCGACCATTAAAAGGATCAACTTGGACAGATCTGGGGGTGGCAAATGTTTAATGCTTAAGCCGATCGATCTTCGTCCAGAAGGTCTGCGAGGGGTTCGAGTACAATGCTGTTGTCTGCTTACCATGCTGTGTACTTGCAATTGCCTAGTGGAGCCAGTGGGGAACCACGAGAAAAAGTACAGGCGGCGAAGTATCGATGCGATTCCATCGTAATATTCGGCTGATCCAGTCCCACACTACTGCGTCCTCCCTACCGATCTCCTCATTCTCCTCTCCGATCACTACCATCTTCTAACGGCCTCTGCACTCAAGTGAACGTAGAGCAACATGTAGGTATCCCCGACGGAGTACGGTAGTCCGCAGATGCTGCAAGATGGAACAAGATAGGCAAGGTCCATCCGGCGGGATGACCGTCCGGGATTAGCTGCTGCTGGCTGGAAATGAAGGTCTTAGCAGACCCCGACTAAGTCTCGGTGCTTTTCCGTGATCAGTCCTAGCGCTGTACTGGGATAGAGTCCTCCCCATTGACCTTACCACAGTTGCTTCGACAAGCCTCTTGCATCACCATTCGCACCTTCTAGCTTCACATGTATGTTTTGATGTAGTTTCAGTCCATCAATACGTCTAATTGCGCAGACATCGGCGGTCCAGTGGTCGAGAGTAAGCTCCTAGAAAGCGGGCTGCACGTTTCGAAAGGTAAAGTGAGACGGAACTCAATTGCGCACAGGCCATGGCAGGATGTGCCATGACATGAAAGGCTAATTGGGGACCATTGCCGAGTGGCAGCACTGGCAGTGGTGTCGCGCAATACCTGCCTGTTACTGTGATAGGCCCTCACTGCGCCTATCAGCCTCGGATGGAACGCATAGCCAGCCGTTGCTGGGATGATGTCTCGGCATCCTGCTAAATCCGCCATCGGCCAATCATGTATATTATCCTCAATGGCCTCCAACTGTCTCGGTAACCGTAACGGGTTACGGATCATCTAATCAATTGATTCGAGCACTACACCCCTGCATTACTCCGACGCCAACACTGTCCAGGCTACAGTGCAAGGTTGCACTGGCCGCTCCGTGGCTGGCTGTTCTCTATCGGCTCGGCATGGAGTTCAGCCACCTCTACTGTGTATCGTTCTTGACTGGCCCGGGCTTGCAGAGGGTGGCTGACGGGATGCCAACCAATTGCAGGAGGCTAACCAACGACGGCTGAGCAGCTGGAGGGGATATTGATCCATGAATCCTCCGTTGTGGTAAAGGGGGGTGACTGAATTTTCGTGTTCCGTGGTGAGTAGGAGGGGGGCGTAGACACTGCAGTTTGTGGTTATCTTTCATTCCCATCGCAGGCAGTGACCCCGGTAGTGACTAGAAAATAGTAAGGAGTACATGCACCAAGCATCGGAATGGCTTGGATGAATGGGAGGAGACGGGGATAGGAATGGGGTCATCCGAGAGGGGAAACTCAAAATCCACGGGGAGCAAGTGGGACTTTTGCTAGGTACTCCGAATCGTCTAACCTTCTCTCTTTTGTTCGTCTTCTTCCCCTTACTTTCCCTATCCATCCGCAACTGCTATCGTTTCTGCCATTCTTCTCTTCGGTATACATCTATCTCGAGCAACAAACCCACTTTTCCAGATGTCCCCGGATTCCCTCATCCTCCCCCCCGCAATCGCCGATCAATCGTTCCACTGTGGATAAGACGTCTGGCAGGCGGAGAATCAAACTTAAGGTGGAGTTCCCCTCAGCATTGTCCAACGAAATCCGATTCTGGTGCAGCTACGCCGCCTATCTCATCCCGCTCTCTCATCGACAGTTACACTTTCCCGATACAGTCCCCACTAGGTCCAGAAGTCCCAAAATGCGAGCAGCTCTCCTTCCTGCATCTTCATTGGCTTGGGACCACATGTTCTCGTCCCCTGCAAAATTGGGAGAGGCGTGCTAAAGATGCCAAAGACAATCCGTCCGTCGTGCCGCATAAAAGGCCCCTCGAACCCCAGCTGTTGGCCTCAATCCATACTTCTATTCTTCCTTCGCTATTCTAGTTCGTATCAAATTATCTCTTCTTCTTCTTATCGAACCTATCACAATGATCGCCCCAACTGAGCCAGTTCAGTCCTCCAATTCGGCCACCCCTATCACCCAATTTCATCCTGACATCACGCGGGAAGCTTTGGAGGAAAAGGTTGTTCTCGTTGTGGGTACGTGGTTCCGGAAACGCGTTTTGCGATTCTCACATCACCAATGCTAACGTATACCTTAAACAGGAGGTGCCAATGGCATCGGCGCCAGTCTCGTAGAGCTTTGCTGTGAGAACAACGCCTACGTAATCATTGGCGACATTGATTCTACCGCCGGTGCCCCCTTGAGCCGGAAGTGCCGTGACAAATGGCCTGTCTACTGGGACCCCTCAGGTCCCCCGAAGCCTCCGCGCTCCTCTTTCCAAGAGACTGATATCACGAACTACCAATCTGTGCTTGATCTCTTTGACTTCACGTTCAAGACCTACAAGCGCATTGATCATGTCGTTGTTACTGCTGGCAGTATGGAACCAAAGGAGAACTGGTTTGACCATGCCCTAAGCCTCCAGGCTGTGCGCGAGGTAAGCTACCTCACAACTTACCTACTGAGAGACCCTGCTAACCATGAAAAGCCCCCATCCACCAGAGACCTTGACGTCAACCTCACTGGGACCCTCTACGTCGTTCGTCTCGCTGGTGCCTACCTCCGCCATAACCGTGGCCCTGGAGTAGACCGCTCCATTACATTATTCTCTTGCGCCGCAGGTTTCAAGGAAACCCCCGGTGTGTCTGTTTACCAAGCAGCCAAGCACGGTGTGCAAGGCCTAATGCGCTCCCTACGCCCCTACTTCATCTCCCCTTACAAGCACAACCTCCGCATCAACACCATCTGCCCCTGGATGACCCAGACTCACCCGGCTGTAACAAAGAAGCTCTGCGACCGGTGGGAGGAGGAGGGCCTTCCCATCAGCTCTCCTCTCCAGGTGGCTCAGGTGGCTGTTGGCGTGCTCGTGGACGACTCACTCAACGGTACCTCGATGTACGTCGAGGGTGGCCGCGCCTGGGAGATCGAGGCGAACCTTGATCGTCTCGAGCCACAATGGCTAGGGGAGGTTCCCGCGAAGACGCTGGCTCAGGGACAGAAGGTGTTGAAGGATGCTTGGGCTGCATGAGAAATGGCCACCACACGACTACTAAAAATAGCACTCTTTCCGTTGATACCCATAGCGTTGGCCAGACTGGACACAGCACACAGTTTCATTGAGATGTGATGAAATTACTATGACATATATAATGAAGAAGATATGAATAAATCAATGACAAAGAAACTACCCTGTAACTAATTTTATCGCGATTACTACTTGCTAGGATGTCATGTTTCAGTGTATGCATGCGCTTTGTTACTTCCGGTATAGTCCGAGTTGAGCTACACGTGATACTAGTCAACACACTCATTCCGTATCTTTCCGAAACAGCATACTACCTCATCTTGCCGGTTTGTTGTTTTCGTAGAATATTGCGTGCTGCAGAAGTAAAGGCATATCGCAAGGCCAGTAGTAATAGATGGCTTCCATCACTTATTGCACCGCCCTTTTAAACAAAATCTCCGACGCTTAGGTTCCACTGAAAGAAGATAAACACAGCACTAAAGGACCAACCGTTCAACGCTACCAGTAACTCCTAGGGTATACTTCGAAGTTACCAATTCAGAGCAACAACGTCTTTTACTACGTAACCAAAGTAAACATTTTTTCCATCTACACGTACCATTCATAATAGTACGAAATCGTGTGATTCAGCTTTCCTCCATCGAAATCCTTCGCCTATTCCACAGTCAGCAAACAAAAACAGTGAACAACGAAACCACAAAACCTCACCAACGCATCAACAAAATAATCCATCATCTCATTCTCCTTATCGAACCATCTTTGTTGTCTTGGCGAGAGATCAACGAACTCTGTGAATGTCTGTGCAGAGTCAAAGTCGATCCAGACTACCCTTTCCTCCTCCTCTACTACGGAAACCATCATGTTACGCGGCTTTGGATCAGCATGAAGAACCCCCGCCGCGTGTATATCGTCGAGAATCTCACGGAGTTTAGCCAGGCGCTGTGGTGAGTAGTTGGATAGGTCAATTTGCTGCAGGTGTGGAATATACTCAATTAGGACAGCATTGGGCGGTAGTTTGTCGTTAAGGAACATGTGGAGATCTGGCCAATCAGCCGGTTGGACTTTTCTGATCGTCCCGTAGAAGTTTGGGATAACGCCTCTCTGGCATAAGCCTTTGGATTCTAGTCGGTGGTAGGCGGTGGATTCGGAGATGAAGAGGTTGACTATGCGGTCGGGAGGGTCAAGTTCGTTTGGTTCTCGATCATGGTACTTTGATATTAAGTGAGAAGGCAGTATATTGACTGGGGGTGCTGGCTTACCACTTTCATGACGCATAGCTTTTCACGGAAGCGCACTTTGAACACTACGGAGTATTTGCTTTCCTTTAGCGTTTCGAGGAATTCAACTTCCGATGGGTTAACGTCTAACTCCTTGGACATGAGAGCCATGTGAAATTAGCAGGTGGAAGATGAGGGTTGAATATGAGATGTTTATGTCTGCTAGGGTATTGAAGTAGTTGGGCAAGACTACTCATCCCTTGCGGAAGTTCGATGCTATGTTTAGTGCCCAAGGCATGAATGCCAGCTGCCAACTGAAGACTCTGCCCTATCCGGTTGTGCTATAAAGACATGTCACTTCGCTGGTAATAACAACAGCGGACTATATCAATTTCTATTCGCATAATAGCAATCCAGACAGCAATAAGCCGATCGCATGCAGTGTCAGAATGGAAGCTCTACCGCCAGCTGTCATGCCCACTCTCTGATTCCTTGCAGGGCTTTACATATTGTGGGCTATAGTGAACTAACTATAAGAGCCACGTGAGCTCACCAAATATTCTAGCCCTATAGAACCGAAAGCAAAGCATCAGCAAGCCAACTTTATCATTAACGCTTGTGAAAAGTAGAGGAAGTTTATTTCGGTCAGATCAGACCATATGGAGAGGTCAGAGTTCTGATTACCCAGAACGTGTGGTATCCTTGATTAAATTACAGCAGATATTAGCCGAAGGAAAATAGAAGTCCTGCGGGAACTTTTAATTGAGATGCACTATTCATCGACAGGCAGGATAGAATCTATCATTCGGTTAGAGCGCTCATCCTATGAATCTTGTTCGTAGGGCGCGAAAAGCAACAAGGGAATACTGAGCCCAACGAAGCTCAGCTCATACCAAGACACTGACGCCTGATTCTGTCCTCCGCTAAGCGGAAGATAAAGATAACGCCTTACTTCCATAGTACGGTGGCGCAATAATGGAAAAGGTCTACGTACAGTAGCTTGGAAAGCTTCCTAAAGCCGCAAGCCCGCGCACGTGGAGCTGGGGTAAGCTACCGTTGAGCTGTCAGGATGCGGCCCCAGCGTCGGGCTGTTAGAAGTTTCGGTTAAATTCACATGTGCGCGATGCAGTGTCTCTGGAGTAATTTATGGTTAGTGGTGACTCTTAAGGCCTGTGTTGCGTTTGCGCTAGTCCGCAGGTGGCGGGATCCTATATCACCTACTAGGCCGGATAGGCTTCATCCTTGCCTAATGAGGCGCGTCTAGCCGGGTCTAGATGGTGCTCGGTTAGATACTGCTATTCATTGAGTATTGTTGATTATTTGAGGACCGCGGATTGAGTTGTGTTTTCAGGCAGACGTTTGAGAAGGAGCAATGGAACATCACCAACATCTATCTTGCAACTATCGACATTTAATGATACAGAGGTAATGGCTTGCTGGAGAGGGGAACTCTGTGTACGAAGCCCAGGACTTACAAAAACAACGGTGGCGTTGTATCCAATCCAGCCAGCCGCGGCTTGCTTATCCACGGGGCATCAGCTACTACTGCAACCAATTAATGTGACCATCTGAATGTAGCTAGTGGCAACCACCAAGTCACGCGTAAATCAAAGCTTGGTCAATGTATCACAAGTGGCTTGATTAGGTGGTAGTCCCAGAGGGTGAAATCATCACTGGGACTGAGATTGTTTTTTCTCTGCACGTAGCCGAGGGTTCGGCAGAAAAGCCTAGAAAACGGTAGGGGGCTTAATGGGTACTTGGCAGGGCTTGGTATATTCTTAGCATCGCTGCATTTTACCTACAGATCATTCAATACTATTACTGTTCGACCAACGTGAAGTCTTCGTCCCTCCATGTCACAAAATGAACTTCAAAGAACTAAATCAATCCTCTCACACGTGTCGCGTGGTTAATATCTTGCCCGGAGTTAGCTAAAATCAAGCAAGGCCTCCTATGGTGAGGATTCCAGTGACACCAAAAGGGCTTGTAACCTGGCCGCCCCCTAGCTAAAGGCTTCACAACCAATCCCAACGCGCTGTGGCGTCAGATATTCCGCCAACCACCAGCCGAGGATGACAGGAATCGAGGTCCATGCGGGAATCTCAGGAGTCATCTGGGGCCCCGCATCTCCAATTGGCATTTCCCCCGCAAAGCTGGTCACCGCTGGGTAATGTTGGTGGTCCTTAACTACTAACTTAGTACATTAGCCCTGCTTATCCCGGACCAATGGGGTAATTCTGTGGAGACAAGCAACCACATGTTCAACCACGTTAGTGACCTGGACTTGTCTCATTTTAAGTTCATTTAGCTCGTATTCTTTTGGTCGAGGGCCTGCATTTTCACTTGCGCCCTTGCTGGGTTGCTTATTCCTGGGCTGTGGTGGAAAGGGGGAAAACGCCGGGCGGCACTCACTTTCCAAGTCACACAGTTACATGGGGTAGAATAATTAAGTCAGGTCAATTTAAGACCTTCATCCCGCCCTCTTGGCCGATGCTTTTCTTCCTTCCCTTCTCTGAGACTTTCTTTCCCCACCTCTCGTAGCTCTTCCCCAAGTCACTCGGTGGTTGAGCCCTGGTATCCGACAAGATGGCGGCCGAAAGCGTCGCCGAACAGCGGGATGAGAAGCCTCAGAGCGAGAAGGTGGACATCCACCAGTCTGAGGTTCTGGATAACCCTGAGCTTATGCATGAAGCCTTTGATGGTGAGAATTATGAGCATCAAATGGGTGTCTGGGAGGCTGCGAAGCAGTACCCCTGGGCTTGTTTCTGGGCCTTCCTCATGTGCTTCACCATTGTAAGCTTTGTCTACATTCATTCACCGAATTAATTGCCAGGTGCTGACATACTAATTCTCGTAGGTCATGGAATCCTTCGACATGTTCCTCAACACCAACTTCGTCGCACTCGATCACTTCTCCAAGGTCTTCGGCGTCGAAACCTCACCCGGTGTCTGGGCCATCCCGACCAAATGGCAAAGTGCTCTATTCCAATCTGGCCAATGCGGTGCCTTCGTCGGTGTGTATCTGGCCGGACCGATCACTAACAGGATCGGATACCGCTGGACGACTATGCTAGGTCTTGTTCTCATGAATGCGACAATTTTCATCTCGTTCTTCGTACGTGGCCTGCTTACATGAATGTCACTTCCACCTCACCTAACATCTTTCTGTATAGGCGAACTCCCTCACCCTCCTCGTGGTCGGCCAAGCCCTAGAAGGTGTCCCATGGGGTTTCTTCATTGCCAACTCCCCAGCCTACGCCAGTGAAGTCGTCCCTCTGCCCCTTCGCGCTGCAGTCACGGCCACCCTGCAAATGAGTTGGTCCATTGGTTCCATCATCGTCGCGGGCGCCACCTACGGTTACAACTCTCTCACTACGGAGTGGGAATGGCGCGCACCACTTGCCTTGCAGTGGATCTTCCCGGTACAGTCCTCTCCTCCAATGCCATACGTCAACAACCAACAATCCACTAACGATCAATCATCTCTAGACTCCCCTCATGGTCCTCCTCTTCTTCGCCCCCGAATCCCCCTGGTGGCTCATCCGCCGCGGCCGCAAAGAAGAGGCCCTGAAATCTATCAAACGCCTGGGCGCCAAAACCGAAGAACAAGCCCACCAATCCCTCGCCATGATCGAGCGTACCGTCAAGATCGAAGAGGAAACAGGCGGTAATCCCACGCTTCTCGATCTCTGGAAGGGTACCGATCGCAGACGAACAATCATCACCTGTCTCATCTATGCGTCGCAAAACTTTGCGGGTAACTTGATTGCGAACCAGGCCACTTATTTCTTCGAGCGTGAGTCCCTACCCCCATCCTTGACTTTCCCAGTGGTCTCTCTCTCTGACTTGTCAATGTATAAAGAGGCCGGTATCTCCGCCGACAAATCCTTCCAACTGAACCTCATCACCACCTGTCTCCAATTCGTTGCCAACGCCGTCTCCTGGGTCCTGACCTCCTGGTTCCGCCGGCGCACCGTCTTCCTCTACGGCACCGCCACGAACATCACCTTCCTCTTCATCCTCGGTATCATCGCCTCCGTACCACAGAACCACAAGACGAACTACGCGCAAGCCTGTCTCGGCGTGATCATCTCCGTGGTCTACGCCGGCGCACAAGGTCCCATCTCGTACACCATCATCTCCGAGACATCGTCGGTGCGACTCCGCGCGTTGAGTACAGCCGTTGGACGGTCCGCATACTACATAACTGAAATCCCGATGATTTATCTCTCGTCGCGGATGCTCAATACCACGGGATGGAACTTGGCCGGCAAGTGCGGGTATGTTTGGGGATGTACCGCGCTGGTGGTGTGGATTGGGGCGTACTTTGGATTGCCGGAGTTGAAGCATCGGTCGTATCGTGAGGCGGATATTCTCTTTAAAAGAAAGATATCGGCGAGGAAGTTCAAGACGACAGAGATTGGGGTCGATGAGAATGAGTAGGGGAGCTCTTTTGCGGTGGTGTGGGTGGGATGTGGTGTTGAGGAGAGGCTGTGGTTTCGAGATAATTTTATGCTCGGTAGTATAGTAGTGCAATATGGAGTTTATTGGTATCACCTCGGTGTCTTGCTGGATTTGTTAATTGAATGGATGCCAATCGACGTGTAGATGAGTCCTGTAAGTGGGCGCTTCGCCATTGTACGCGCCGTCCCGGGCCTTGGCATTGCTTGTAGGGAGTGCTCGTCGTATTGAAAGCTTAGTATGGAGTATCTCTATATGGTACTGTGTTGTTTGATTCTTGATGGAAGATCACATAGCATAGGGAGGTATGCTGTAAACGAAGGCAAGGATTATATCGCAATTGCTTTATCTGGGTATCTTAGCTAAAGAAGTAGGAAGCCAAAGATGGCGAAACGCCACCAATGGTCTGGAAAGCAAGAAGAAAAATGCACGAGTTATGCGTCGCCAAGCTGGTACCTCAATATCCAGGAACCCTTGGGGTAAATCCAACCATAAGCGACGGCGGAGCAAAATTGCCGTCGGCGTCAATGCTAGGCTCTGCGGCATGAAGAAGCTGCGTCTATTTGGATTCCAAGTCAATGACCAGCTTTCAGTATAATATTTGATGAACTCACATTAAATTTCATAAGTACCAATACAACAACTTTCTTCAATTCCAGCCAGGCCACCTGGGCTTCTGGATGGTCGCGCACGCAGCGGTTGAAGGATATCAATCCCTGCTCCATTCGGCTTCGCTGTTGTGCATCTGCCAAAAGCCATCGCTCAGGTTGAAATGAGTGAACATCATTCCCAAACGTCCCACTGTCGAAGTGTAGAATATGGGAGTTCCACATTAGGGTTGTGTTCTTGCAAATTGGGTAACCTGCAACAATAACACCATCTACTGGTGCCTTGATCTCCTCTTCAAAGTTCACTGACAGCCGCATCGTCTCTTTCAGAACGGCATCAAGGTAGGACAACCTATTTAATTCTCTCCATCGGGGTATGTCTGACAGCGATCCAACACCAAATGCAGTGTCTATCTCAAACCTGAGTCTATCAAGAAACTCCTGGTGCCTCAGTAGAAAGTAAAATAACGACATGAATGTGCCAGCAACAATGTGCCCTCCACGGACGCCATTAGAATCTGGCCTCGTCCGGCTTCCGTCGCGCGACCGTTGTCGCATTGGCAAAGGGCCATTTGAGCTAACTGCATCGTCCCCTTCGACGGAAACAGTAGGCGCTACCACTGGCAATGTCGCACATGTTGCTAGTCGACGTCCACGATCTCTCTTCAGTGCCGTCACCGGGCTTCGGATGAGCATAAATTCAACTGTCGAGAACATATTCAACCATCGGCTGCCTCTTCTCATGTTGTCATGCCTAGTCTGTAACAAACCCCCGGTGGTAAGCTGATTTATAAACGTCGTCGCAAATATGCGCAAAGACGAGGTTATATCCAATACACGGTATCTTCGTATCGCTTTGATGAGTTGTTTCGTGGACGGGTCGATCACTCCTTCGTACTCCGGTAAACCATGAGAGCATTCCCAGGTAAAATGCGTTGTCTGAATATTATCCAGGCTGACGGTGACGCTATTCGAGGGTGTCGCATTTCTATAGTGTGGTTCTGGTGACTGTGACAATTAGCAAATGTCGTTTGAATACAAGCTGAACACGTACCCCCTCATCGACCCCCTGATCTAGACGGCCTATAATCGACCCATCTGCGACACTGAGGAAGCGCGGTCCCAACCGCACAACCGTGCCATATTCTCGATGAAGACCTGACAGACGCCGACCGTAGTGAGATTTATTGCGAACATATATGCGCCAAAAATCCGACCATCCAGCGGCTGAAGGACCAGGGATAGCACGTAGACGGCTATAATTGCGGAAGGCGCGAAGTAATGTCAGCAAGGCGAGCAGTATAACTGCAACGGCCCCTACTCCCATGGCGGAAGCTAGAATGCTGGTTCATTTTCTGCTCCAGTGGACGCGACGCTGTTTTGGTTATATCGACTGATGATGACACTCTGTCGGGATAAACACATCATCGTCTTCCATTTCCCACAGCCGCGATAACCCGAGTCGAGAAAATGAATCGGAGCAGGCCGGCAGTGAAGTCATGGGCTCAGAGATGCGCGACAGGTCTAAAAGGTCCCCAGGCACCCGCACGCGAGTGGATTCAGGCCAGAACTTTAAACCGGCAGTGCCTGGGTGTGAATAATGGCACCAAGTAATTACGTGATAAGAATTGGTGCCCCTCAGGGGGGTCCGTTGTCGGTCGGGCCGAGGTGCGGCCACTCTGCTTCCAGCATTATTTGGCTTGCAACACAGCAACAGTGTGGGGTCGCGCAATGTAACGGCAGATAAGTCGTCTGATCACAGCAAAGTCATCAGCACCTTCCATAAACTCGTAGGATTGGATGAAGATAGCAACCTATTGAGGGGTGGCATTTAGTTCTGCCTGCACATTAGCCTGCCTTAAGTTCATCTCACGCTTGAACGTGGAGAGGCCGATCGCGCGGGAATCGAGCAGTCTTCTGGCTTGGGCGCCAACTGCCTACCGTCACACCACAGGCACACTTATCGAGTGGAGTCCGAGCTACCATCACTGTTGTTGGATCGGTGTGTATCCCAGCCATTCTTTCTCTAAACCCGGCGAGATTCATTCCACGTGTCTGGTCCCTCTCATCCCCGCTATACTCCGTACTGTTGGACGTTGATCGGCATCTCCAGCCGTGGACAGCATCCGCAACAGCAAGCCCATAGTGCTTCGGACAGCACAAAACCCCTGCAATAGAGTGTGCGACATGGTGATTGTGATCTATCAATAGCAGTGCGTTCTGCCATGGCTCAGAGAAAAGGACGAGGTGGGCTGCAGCAGCGAGCTGCAGAGCACCAACCCAACGCGAGACGGTCAATGGTCGCGTGCGTCAGCAATAATATGCTAGGGTCCTAGACTAGTCAGCTAATATGCCTTTGTAGGTGTAATCGATGCCGCAACAGAAAGACCCGGTGTGCTGGCAACCCACCTTATCCATGTGCTGCATGCGCAGAGGTGGGCCATAAGTGTGTCTACTCGGAAGCTGAGAAGCGCGTCTCGATTCCCGAAAGGTGAGCCTGGAAGCCTGAGAGGAACGCAATGGATGCCTGAGCAGGTGACCAACATTCATTCTTTAGCTACTTTCATCAACTTCGCGCCCAGGCACAGGCCAGCCGTCGAGGTATGTATGCCATCAAGTCGTTCATGACAGCAATATATGACATTTTTTGATTGATTAATTCCTGCAGATGAAGGTCGCCCAGTATCTCTCCCTAACCCCCCTGCCACCATCCAGAGCAGTCCCTACAACAATGTGGAGGTGCCTCTCGAGCGAGATGACTGGTGGTACAATGAAACAGGTCATGTCTTCTTGAATCGGTCAGGAGAGCATCGTAAGCTTGTATTGAGGTCCCGATACCTGCGAAGCTGAGCTGATCAGTAACCAGATTATGTCGGGGCATCTTCCACCACCCATTTGGCGAAACGCTTAAATCCCTCATCAACCAACCTAGCATTGGATATGCGGCCACTGTATGATGACCCTTTGTCTCTGCGTCGCTCAGCTCCTCGGGTTCTACCCCAACTGCCCCCATTCGAGTACGCTAAACGACTCTACTGGGTACAGTATGTCTATATTGGGACAATATTTTCCTTGATTCAACCCCATGATTTCGAAGAGCGGCTCCATTTCGTTTATAGCCAACCCTCTGATGCCCTCAATCGAGAGTCGTGTCTAGTATACTGCCAGGTGTTACTGGTCATAGCCTTCGGTCTGATGTATTCGGTGAACCAGTGGTCCGGAGATGACGGGCCTCCTGGATTCAAATATTTCAAACATGCGCTGCGCTTCTTACCCGACATCCACGAGGAAGGCTCTATATTCTTCGTGGAGGTTCTTTGCTATGTTGCGTATTATATGCAGAATCTCAATCGTCGAGACGCTGCATTTCTTTATGTAAGTTCGGTTCATGTGATGATTTCCACTGCTAATGCAAGTTATCCAGATCGGCCTTGCTCTTCGCATGGCTATTTCATTGGGTCTTCACCAGGAGGTTCTGGACCCAGAGGTTAGTGAAGAAGATCGGAATCGTCGCCGGCGGGCTTGGTGGTCGGTGTATAGTCTGGATCGGTAAGGCCCACGCCCCTCCCCCCTTAGTACTTACTAATACCTGCTAGGCTTCTGTCCGTCAAATCTGGTAATCCGATTACGATCCACGATGAGGATATAGGGACAACATGGCCGCAGCCTACGGTAAGTAATAAGGATTCCATCAGCAAATTTCTCCTAACATTAAGTAGAGCGCAACCGAGGTGGTCCCTTGGCCATCGGTCGTCCTCACCTACTATACACAATTGTCTCGGATATTGGGTAGGATAGGCGAAGGTATGTGACCAACTCCTCATTCCCGCAAGCAGAGACTCCATTGACATGTTACGAAGAAATCTATCGCAAGAAGCCACGATCCGGCTCCAACTTGCTTGTGTCTGTACAGAGTATTACAGATGAGCTTTCGGACTGGCTGCGACGAATACCTGATCGTCTACGTATCGACTTCTCCACTCTAAATACTCACATCAATCGAGAGTCGGTCTCGATATTTTTACACTTTTATTCCTGTGTCAACATGACCGCACGGCCTTTAGTCTTCTATGTAATTCAACGCCGGCTCGATGCTGAAGATAAAGGTTCTGCGACCGTGGACTGGAAAGAAGGGCTATCGCAGAACACCGTGGCGGTGATTGAGAGCTGTGTGGCAGCAGCTCGAGCCACCACCCTTATAATGGATGCAGCAGCGAAGCACAATTTGGTTGGTACGTCTACTCGTCATTCGTTTGGAACTATCTCGGGTCACTTCGCTAACACCAAGTTTAGCCACATATGGCTATCTAGACGGAGAGTACATCTTTTCCGCCGCACTTTTACTTGTGATGGTCAATGCCGCATTCCCCTACA